CCCCAACCAATCCCCTCGCCACAGTCAACACTCAGGTTGACGATCCAGTCGAACATGGCAGTCTTCCCTCGAAGCTTCACTTCGATAATATGCGACTACGTTACAGTAGGGAGTTGGCACGTGTCAGTTAACGCGAATTCACAGACGCACACCACGACTCCATCCGTCTACGGTACGTCCCTGATGGTCTTCCTTCGGAAGATAGCGGTAGTGCGTGCAAACAAGTTCCCTCATTTCCGGTTTAACATTCGCGCCACGACGATCCCGTACTCAATCCCCTCGACGTACCCTACACTTTTCACACGACCCACAGCGTATTCTTCAGCGCCTTTACTTCGCTCCTGCCAGCACAAGGACGACGCAGGGGACGTAAATTGTACGAGGGAGAAACGTAGAAATGGAGAAAATATAGGGGTTCAACTGTGTTAACCGCAGATAAGATTCGCCTTATTAAATGCCAGGAGTGGATAAGAAATATCGAGAACGGTATAGATATATACTTGGCAAAGTATCCGTAGAGAAATATGTAAAAAAAAAAAAAAAGAGGGAAACGAAATATTACCAGCCATATATATATATATATATACAGTGTGCCTTATCTATAAAAAAGATGGCTCTTAAAATACGTTCCGTTAATACCGTCGATATTTAACAGGGGATGTTTACACTTTTATGTCTCAGCCCGTTTAACCCCATGAACCATCCCCCACATAGATCTGCATTCCCTTCGAAACGAACCATGCCAAGGGTTGGTGTTCTCGGTGATCGAACGGTCACATATTCATATATATATATAATATAGATTGGCCCACGTGCGTCGCGTATAGTTGAGATAGGGCAGGCAGGCAGGTCACACATTCACACCCCCCAGTGACTCCGTGTCTTTGACCCCTTCAAGCCATCCCGTGTGTGCATACCGTACAGGGTGCTTCAACGCCCACCTCCCGGACACTTCGTTCCTTGAAAGTCCTTTGAATTCCTAGAATCATTACGATATCCTTCTAAGCGCCTACAATCTTATCGTGTTTCTAGCAACAGGTTAGGATTTCTAAGAACGGGATATATCGCTATCAGTTTTGAAATGCAATAGAGTTGATAAGATCTCAGAAATAATTGAAAGCGAAATACTGATACTCCGTTAGCGGTGCACACGTTATAATTTCATAAGGGACCTCGGGTCCCACGCATTCCACGAAGGGATTATATTATTTTGCAATTTCTTAGCGACAGACCTCTCGACGAGTGTTTCTTTGATGCATTCCAGCTGCGGAGTCTGCGTCGGGTAATGCCTACAGATCCGTTGAAAATCCTATAAATATTTCGTGGCGTCGCACGAAGGAAGGATCCTCGTGACGGGAGTGCGGGAAGGCTATGATATTATTGAGTAATGCAGTGCGCGTGTCAGAGGCATCCCTTACGGTTTGAGGGTTGAGCTTTTCAAGAGACAGGAATATAGGGAGCCCGAGAGCGTGAGTGAAGAGGGTGGAGGGATGAAAGGGGTAGAGAGGAGTCTGTCGGGTGCCCGTACGACACATCGAGTGAAGTTGAGGGTTGAGATCCCGGCAGGGTGGCTCCAGGTCTAATGGGGTAAAAAGTGTTTGGATTTTTTCCCCTCCTTTCCTCTTCCACTTCTTCCTCTTCTTCTCCCAGAAACCCGTTCTCCAAGAGCATGGGACTCCTTTGTCGGAAATCACGAGTCGGGTCTTTGTCGTCTCCCACCCTGGTTTCCTCAAACGACGCAGCCCCTTTTCATCCCCTCACCCGTATCTACGGTCTGACGCCGACAACCCCACAGACAGCCCTGCTCGTTCTAGTGTAACCCCTTCTACGAATTTTTCCTCGAAATTGCGAAGATCCAAATTCCTACGTGTCTCATGGATTACTCGGCTGTACGAATTTTTGGTCTCTCTTCTATACCTAACTGAGCTTGCTCGTTCGTTTAGCTTGTTGCGTGCGATGATCGTTCAAAGTGGACCCGGGTCAAATAGGTAAAAGGGTCGTTTGTAGCCTACTGTAAAAAATGGCAATATCATGGTTAATAGATTGCGCAGTTGAAAGTAGGTAAAGTGGAGAAAGTCCTGTACTCGCCAGACCGTGACCGAAGAGAACTTGAACGGACAGTTTGACTCAGCCAGTTTCTTTCAGGCAACATCAGCGATTCTCTATACATCACGTACATGACAAGTAAGTATATATATATATATATATATATATGTAAGGTTTGATAGAAATAAAAAACATGATAATTTGTTAGCGACGCCTAGCAAGTGGATTACCCGCGTAACGCAACCGGCTGATCTCTGGGACCGAACTCAATTTCATGTAAGGTTTGATAGAAATAAAAAACA